GTAATGTTTGCAACCTTCGCATGATACGAACTAAATATCCGAAAACAAAAGATAGCTACTAATGCACACGTTAATGTTTACTGACATTAGCTTTTGTTGTGGTGTATATTAGCATATTGTTTACTATAGATTTGCTCTTAAATGAACTGTATTGTTTATGTTTCCTGTGCAGCAACCGCGGATTCTAACGCCAGCAGGTAAATAAATACATAAATATACACACAGCTATGATACTGCGGTCCAAAACACACAAAAACAGGGAAGGATTGTGTGTTGAAGAATAAACCAGATTAACTTACGTTACAGCTAATGTTCTATACCGTTATAGAACGTAACGTTACACAGTTTGTACTTTAAAAAAAAAATACGATTTAACTCACTTTTTTCAGTGTTTATTACAGATCAGTGAATAAGGATATACGCGATGCTAGGCTGTTGACATTCGTCTGACAGAAACAAATCAGTAGCACTTTGTTCCTCATATCTTCGCTGCTGATATAGACATTTTTCAAAGAATTTGTGCTCTGAGACCCCCGCAAAAAAAGTTAATCATCATCATTTACTCCAAACCTGTTTGAGTTTATTTCTTCTGTTCAACACAAAAGATATTTTGAAGAATGTGTTCCATAAAAGAAAGAAAGAGATTCATACAGGTTAGGAAGAACAGGAGGGTGAGTAAATTCTGACTTTTTTTTGTGTGTGTGTACTATCCCTTTAAAAATGTTCCTACAGTGATGGAGATGCCATCAAGGTGTTTGTGCGGGTTCGGCCCCTGACTCAAGGCTCTGGGTTAACAACAGACGGCGATCGCAGTCTGTGTCTGACTGTGACCTCACCACACACCGTCAGACTGCACTGCAAACCAGAGCCTCGGACCTTCACATACGACCATGTCGCTGACATGGACACAAGCCAGGTGAGGCAGGGGTTTAGATTCATCTTCTCTAGGTCAGCTCATCATCTCATCACTGCTCTTTGTGTCTCTCAGGAGGAGGTTTTCTCCAGTGTGGCTAAAAACATTGTGGAGTCGTGCATGAATGGATACAACGGGACCATTTTTGCCTAGTGAGTTCCTGTGTGGCTTTTATCTAAATGTTCTAGAGCTGTGGCGTATTCATGATGTGGTGTGTTTGTTTTTCAGTGGACAGACGGGCTCAGGAAAGACCTTCACCATGCTGGGTAAGTCATGAGTTCTCTAGTCAGAAGGCCTACTAGTTAGATCTTTTGTCTGTGTATGCACACACACGCACTTTACAGCAGCTCCCAAAACGTAACTGGACACTTGAGATAAAAATTAAAATTATATTTAATATACTGCAATGATGGCATTTGTTTAGAAAATTAGCTCAAACCCGCTTTTCTAGCAAAATATTTCACATGCTGTAATTGTCAGATATTAGTGGAACATGTTCCTCTTTAGTTAAAATGAGTAACTGCATTATGAAGTATGTGGTTACTCTGCTAGTACACTTTAAGGAATACTTCACCCAAAAATGAAAATTTGCTGAAAATGTACTCGCCCTCAGGCC